GGGGGCAGCGGGAGGGGCCGCCACTGCGGCCTTCGCGGCCGGGCCTGGCGTCGGGGCGATGCGTGTGAGGCCCGAGCCCCGATCCCCGCGCAGACCAGCTGCATCGCGCACTTCCCGCTTGCTCTCTGCGCTCGCAGACCAAGGACGGCGCTCGCACCCTCTTATGGCTCGATCCCAGCCAAAAAGCTTCGCCGGCGCAGCTGTGACAGCGTTCGCGGGGGCTGTTGCGGGTGCAGGAGGGCCTGGCGCGGGGCTGGGGACGCTCACAGAAGCTGGGGTTGCTCCGCGCTGCTCTTTGGCGTGGGCCCTACAGCCAAGGGTTGTACCCGAGGGTCTGCGGAAACCGCTGTGTGTAAAGGATGGCCGCGTGACTCGGACTGAGGGCGGCTGGGAACAAAGACGTTTATTGTCTGGCACACCTACGCGGCAGCTGGAGATGCCTCACGCTGCTTACCAAGGCCCCTTCCTACGGAAAAGCAAAGAGTTTTCCCCCTGGCTAACGATGTGTTTTTGTCTTAAAGAAAAATCTCCGACAATCAGACTCATGAGAGGCTGTAAAATAAGTCTTGTTGCCTCAGGAAACGTAGCGGAGTAAACTTTAGCCCGCTGTGACTCCCTGGGTGAATGCTCTGTGTGAACAGAAACCGCTCCGCTTAACCTGAAGTGTGCTTTCATTTGTTGAATTAAAAGAATGACATGTTTTAAATCCAATGCCAGTCTTGCAACAAAGCGAACATCTGCGGAACACGGAGTTGGTCTGTTTGTGATGAAAGGCCTCAGTAATTCGTCTGTGGCTTCTCTTGCTGTGCCTTACGAGGTCTCGTTTTTACGTACACGATGGCTTTCATATTTCACAAATTCATCTGGCTCTGAAAATTGCTCGTTATTTACTCCATATAAGGTCTTAAACATTTTTCACAGCCCTCCTCTGGCAGGCGTTGGACAGTGTGAGATGGGAGAAGCATGATGGAGGCGTTGCTGTAGTAAATATTTCGTATGAAACACGAATCAGCTACATTAAATCTATATACGGTGATGCTATGTAATTTAACACTGCCCCGAAATGTCCGAAATCTTTTAAAGATTCATCTTTTCTCTTGAGAGCTAAGGAACTCAGTGTGGCAGTCACAATTTTTAGGCGCTGATGTTAATGGTTATATGAAAAGCCTGTTAAGCCGAAACATGGTTGTTTATTGCGATTACGTCCACAACTCCACTCCACTCAGAAAACCGTAGAAGTTTAAAAAGTTTAAAAGTAAACTTCTGTAAGTAAGTTTTCTGAGTTACTCAGTGAGACAGGATGAGTTTTGTAACCGACCTTAAGCCATGCCCACACCTAGGCTTTAGCGTCCCTTCGCCTTGGGTGGGGTTACCCCAAATTTGAGCACCCTCAGCAGGGAGCTGAAGGGCCCCAGGAGAGACTCCTGCTGCCTTCCCCGAGCGTGGCACTGTGCTGTCTGCTGAGTGCGACAGCGAACCAGGTGGCCACCGAACCACGCACGCTTGCCACGGGTCCGTGCCATTTTTCTAACGGCGTTAGCACCAGTGGTGTCCTGTCCGCATGCGCGGGGATTTTACTCTGCTCCCTTCAGGCAGTTCCCTCGTGTACACTTTTTCCCCCTGTATTTCTTGTACAGCAATGTCCAACTTTGCAGTTTGCTGAGTAAAATATGTAAGTGCTAGAACAAAATCTGAAGCCTAGCGCTTCATCTAAATAGCGTTTTTAAAGCAATTTTATTTTGTAAAGTCCCTTGCAATCTTTTTGGATGTTTTTTACATTGCTATATGAACTAATTATTACTGCAAATCAATATCTCTAAATATACACGTGAATTACAGCAGAAATTATATATCCTCCTACAGTCATATACGTGCTTACTACACATATTTTGCTTTCTCCCACAGGGTAAAATATCCTCGTATGCCTGCAGACATGCAGGCCCATCACCCAAGGAGCCAAGGTTCAGCTTCTCAAGGTATATAGTGACGTAAAGATTGATTTACTCGGCTAGTGGGGCTTACAGGGCTCTGAAGTTGGCCAGATACCGAGCTCCTGTTGGAAGGCGTTGGATTTCCTGACCCGGGTTCTGCAGTGTGACGTTCAGATCCACTTAGCAAACATTGCCCGAAGTTCATTGCCGTTTACAGACGCTCGGCACTGCAGAGATCCTTTTGTATGAGACGATGAGCACGTGTAAGGAAGTCTTATCCAGGGGGGTGGTGCTCAGAAGTCACGTAACTGCTCGGTTGCTTAACAGTGTGTTCCGTTAAATCTGCCTTACGCTGCCAGTTTGTGTGCCCAGCTCGGGAGTCGCTTCGCCGAGAGCTGGAAGGTGCTGGGCAATCAAGGCCGTGGTGGCAACAGAGTGGCGTAATGAGACGGGATGAAACCTCCGAGTGTTTGGACCTGGAATCAATAACAGACTGGAATAAACGCCGAGGGCAGGAGTCCCGTTGCTCCAGGTAGGTTTGTGTTCGACGTGGCAGCACGTTCTCACAGATCTCAAGTCGAGTGACAATGACTAAGGCCATTTATTACTTACTGGTATTGCATTTCGATAAAAGTCGACCCTGTCCAGTGTGTGATTTGCAATCTGCTTTAACAAACACGATAAAGGACTGTTTATGTCCAAGGATTTTACAATGTGAGAGTCTTAACTCCGCATGTACAAGTGTTAGGTAAGCTTCAGGTACACCTGTGCCTAGGAACACCACCAGTGACTTCGGCAGGCCTAGCTTTGGGTTTCGTTGGTCTTGTGAATGTTCACAGGCTCATGGTTTAACTTCCAGGTGCAGCAAGGGAAAGGGGGAAGGGAGATGTTAGCAGAGTGTTTTTGCAGAGACTGGAAGCGTACACAGCTTTTCCCATGGTAGTTAGGGGACTTTGTTCCGTGTATCACATTTTATTTGGCTAATGAAATAGTTAACTCATTTTTAATGGCTATAATGATTGTTTTAATCACCAAAAGCATCTGCCACACAACCGATAGATCAGGCAAGTACACGGCAGCGAAGTACCTCTCAGAATACTTAGTCAGCAGACATTTGGAACAAGCTGTACCTGCCCTTTTTTCCACAGCGTGGGCTCTGTTTCCAAATGCTCCCCTTGGAAGAGGCTTCCGTGTC